TGTATGTTTTTGTCTGCTTTGTTGAAGATTAGTTGGATATATAAGGATGGTTTTATATCTGAATTCTCTGTTCTGTTCCACTTGTCAATGTCTCTGTTCTTGCGCCAATACAAAGCTGTTTTAATTATTATAACCTTATAGTATAGTTTGAAGTCTGATAAATTGATACCTCCTATTTTAAAACCCAACATTTTCATAGCATGGACCAGGGGTCCTCAAACTTTTTAAACAGGGGGTCAGTTCACTGTCCCCCAGACCGTTGGAGAGTGCGCACTGTGGGCCCGGGATGATTCGGCTGCTAAGGAGAATAGGCAGAGGCAGCAAAAACACCCGGAGGGCCGGAAAAATGTGCTAGGCAGCCTGCATGTGGCCTGCGGGCCACAGTTAGAGGATGCCTGGTATGGACAGACTCCCAGGGACAAATATAATCCTGCTGTAGCCATGACCACACCCTGGCATTGGCTATTTCGTTCTTAAAGCCTTACTTTTGTACAAGTTAAATAGATAAATTATCTTCTTAAAGACACTCTTATCTCTAATAATTATTTTCTATAGTTGCTGAAAAATCTTCATGTCCAAATTATTGGTCTTATAGTTACAGTCAGGGTAAAATAATTCTGCACAGCAGGCTGAATGCATTTCCCAAGTTTGTGCAGCAAACAGACTGAAGCCTGGAGGCAGTGGATGAAATATTCCCAAATATTCCCTCTGGCTGCCTTTTTACTTGTTCCCTCCCCAGACATTACCTTTCTCTGGCTCACCTTCTTAAAAGTGCCAGAACGATGTCCAGCCGTGGTCCCTCTGCATTTAGCACCTCCTTTCCCTGGGAGCTGGGCCAGTTAAATCCTTGCAACTTGTCCTTTGACACCTTAAGAGTTAGTCTGCAGACCAGGAACTGCTGAGACTTTCACAGCTATGAGTGTGGATTTGAAAAATCTAGGGATATGATCTAGAGAAGTCTTCCCACCCTATTCTTACCCTGGGAGTGAAGCCAAGTCCCAGGTGGTGGTCACTCTGTTAGCCAGTGCAGACACTTAACAACAAAGTGATATAATTCCCAGCCTGAGGGGCATGTGTCAGAGGGGTAGGGAAAAAGAGGACAGGGATTTAGGGAATTATTTTCTATTTTTCTCTCTCCTCCCACTTCAAAATGGACAGTTTTCCATATTGCTGTTTGGAGTATAAATTTTCACATGTGTGGAGAGCATTTTGGGAAATTGTGACAAATGATCTTTAAATATACATACTCCTTGACTCATCAATCCCATTTGTATTCATTTATTCTTTCATTCAACAAATATTTATTGAGTACTCCTAGGTGTTGGCCTTGTGTCAGGTGCTGGGGATGGAGTTTATTGTGGAGATCTATCCTAAGGAAACAACCAGATATGTACATGAAGATGTAAATGCAAATACTCTTATTTCTTACCATTGTTTGAATGACAAAAAAATGAAAACTATGCATAAATGTACAACAAAAAGAGTCTAACCGAATAAATAACAGGATAACAATTCAAAGGACTGCTTTATCTCATTAAAATTAGGGTATAGGTATATATTAATTGGTATTGAAATATGTTCACAATATATCAGTAAGTTAAAAATGTACAAATATAGGTAGCAAAATCACATTTTAAGATATATATATATGTCTGACTAAATGCTTGGGAAAGTTTTTAAAAATTGATACACTAAAGTATCAATATTAACTTTGAATTTAGAAATTATGGGTGATTTTAATTTTTGCCCTTTATGATTATTTGTATTTTTCTAATCTTTTTCTATGAATGATAGCTATTTATAGTCCTTTGGTAACTTAAATAACTAACTCTAATTTGGGGATTTATTTTCTGACTGAAGCAAGGGCTGGAAAAATGTACTGAAGCCACGAGGGCATACATCCAAGACTTCCAAGAGTTCTCAAAAAACATATCCGCTATGCTGGGGAGATGTCAGACCCACACAAATGAGTACAAGAGTGCAGTAAATAACTTGGCACTGAGAGTCGAACGTGCCCAGCGGGAGATTGACTACCTGGAATACCTTCGAGAATCCGATGTGTGTGTAGAATCAGAGGACAAAACGCTGGCAGAAAAGCTACTTCAAGAAGCAGAAGAAGAGAAAAAGATCCGGACTCTGCTGAATGCAAGTAAGAGAACTGTGTTGTTTCCTACCCCTTCTAGGGACCAGCACACTCAGAAGCAGACTCAGTGCACTTAGGAAGCCTGCCCGAGTCATGAGAGTAAGAACTAGATGTGTGCTTTCGTGTGCATATGCTGGGACAGAAACCTGTGCAGGAATAGTTGTCCAAAAGAAATCATTCTCAGAAAGCAGCTTTTCCTTTCACAAGGAGTGTCTAAAGACCCCATCAAAGGTCAGGGCTACAGTATCACAGGTCAGCCCAGGGAGGCCACCACCCGATAGATCTTGGTTTGGTGGAGGTGTGTGGTCCCAGAGTTTTCCAGGGCGAGTCGCAGGTTGGTGGACTCTACATACAGTGTCCAGGGAATAGAGATCAGCTGCAAATGTGCCAAGAAACAGTCTGAAACTGGAAATGGCAACAGCCAACCATCAGAGCTGGGAACTGTAGTAAATTATTATTGTGTGCATTGTCTGGGATGGTGATATCCAAGGGATTTGTCTCCAATCTTGTGATATGTCAAAATCACTTCTGGGCCATTAAGAATAATGTTTAGCAGCTCAAATTATGTAAAAAGTATTGAGCAATAACCACAAATGACATGGAAAATTTCCTTGAGTTCATTTCATTAAAGCAATGAGAGAGATGAGTGGTCCACCTCCGTCTGTATTCTGAGGTGACTTCATTGCAAATAGGAAGACTTTATAAGCTAGTTATGTTTGCCCCAAATTCAAGAAACTCCATCAGGGAAACAACACGTAAATTGAGTGTCATTGTTGTGCTAAGGGTTTCACATATCTTCTCAATGTAATCCTTAGAAGAACTCCATGGTCACTATAAGAAAAAGGGTCTTTCTAAATGAGGTGACACCTGAATTTTGAACAAACAAGTTAGAGAAGAATGAACAGAAGGCACTTCAAGTGAAGGCACAATACATCAAAGGCATGAGGGTGTGTAGCACTTTGATGTGTAGATCTGCAAATGTGGCTGAGTGAAAGCCACTAATATACAGAGGGGTGAGTGTAGGGAAACAAGGTTGAAGAGTTCAGCAGGACCAGGTAATGAGAGTCCTTGCATGTTAAGCTAAGAAGATTGACATTGACTGGAGAAACCACAGAGAACCACTGAACAATTTTAATCAGGGGCATGATATGGAGAAAGAGGATAAGACCAGAGAGAGGAGACCAGTAGGGGAATACTGAAGCAATCTGGGCAGCAAGAGATGGTGTTGGCAGTAAATGTCATGGGCCAGAAAAGAGCAGATGGAGCTCTGTTTCATGTTCAATGCTGTGTCTCCAGTGTCTACAATGGTGTTTTTGTTCAATAAATAATTGTCAGTGAATAAGTGAACAAAATGAATGAATGAATGAATGAATGGAGGGATTGTCAGCACAGGCAGAGGGGATAGTTAGGCTTTGAGAGAAAAGAGAACATCTTATCCCTGAGTCAGAAGAAAGAGAGGAGGGGGCCTGTTCTATAATATGGAACAGTTGATCAAGTTGGTCAAGTGAGCAATACTTTTTGGCTCTGACATGGCCCTGCAATGAACCATCCTCTGAGAAAGAGCAGCGGGGGATAGGCAAAGGGTGAGAGGAGGGAATGAGGACCGGGGAAATGGGAGAGGATAGTCCAGCAGAGGATGAACAAGGGCTGCCTAAAAAGCTGATGGAGGATTGGGTGTTAATGTGGGCTGAGCTAGAATGTGTATGAACTTTCACATTTTCAGATAGGACCCCAAGCCTGAACAGTGGTGCTGGATTAGATCCCTGAGCACCTGGTCCCTGGACACTCTCCGCACTTTAGGCCTCCTGGTTACCCCTTTCCACTCCAGCTAGAGCTCAGCAGAGGTCTGGAGATTGGACTTGATGAGTTTTCAACCCCCATCTTCTACTCCATCCTTCAGACCCTGAACTCCTGAAATAGTCCCTCTCTGAGTTCTGTGGTCCATGCATGTTGTTTCTGGAGTTCTCATTTGATGCCTCATTGGCTTATGAGTCAGCCAGCACTTATTGCCCCCACTATTGGATGGGTTCTGTGCTGTCTGATAGGAATGGAGGCATGAGCAGGACATGTCTGCATCCTGCTAGAACTCTCTTACTGCCTCTCTTGCCTCCCTTAGTCTGCCTGCTGTCACATAGGCCTTCCTACAACACAAAGTAGATCATATCACTCCTCTACATAGAATTTTTTTTTTTTTGCCATTTGCCATCAGTTATCATCAACAACAAAAATCCATTCAAATCTCCTATCCTTTTTATGCAGGAAAGGCCCTTAGGCCCTTTCCAAAGTGGTCCAAGCTGATCTCCAGCTCCTTTTCCCATGACTTCCCCACATGCAGTTGCAATTTACATATATATATATATCATATATATATATATATCATATATATATATCATATATATATATATCATATATATATATATCATATATATATATCATATATATATATATCATATATATATATATCATATATATATATCATATATATATATATCTTCCTTTCTACTAACCCTTTATGATTCAAAAATGCTGTGAATTCTTTATGCAGACCTTTGGGGTCGGGGCCAGTGGCCTGCCAGGCAGATAGGCCCCTAGTGCTCCTAGAGCACCTCATTCAGTCCTCCAGCGGAGCATCTCACATATTCAACCACATGTATTTGTGTGTATTTGACTCCTTAACCACTGACATCTTCATTTCTGTCTTCACAGAGTCTAGGTCAGGCCCTCCCATGGAGGAGGCCATAGAAATTACTCACAGAAGAAATACTGATAGCAGAGGCCAAACTTGTAAACAATCATGACTGTGTGATTCATGTTCACATGACTTATTATTTTCAGAGGTTCTCGGGTAGACTCTGGAATGCCAGTTTATTGCCCTATCGTGTACTGTTTGGTATTTTACACATTGTGCCCCCTGTTTTGTTTGTTTGTTGTTGTTGTTTCCATTTCTGTTAGTAACTATTCCTATATCAGTTCTCTAATACTGTACAACAAATTACCACAGATTTGGCAGCTTAAAACAATGCACCTTTTTTTTTATCTCAGTTTCTTTGGTTGGGAGTCCATGCACAGCTAAGCTTGGTCCTCTGCTTATAGTTGCAGGACTGAAGCCCTCAGCTTCCAGAGGCTTCCCTGTCCGTAGGTATTTACAACATGGCTGTTGCTCCTTCAAGGCCAGGAGGAGACTGCTTCTCTTCAGGAAGCCCCTAAGTACTTCTTTTAAGGGTTTTTAACTGACTAAGTCTTCTACCCACAATAATCTTCTTTTTGATTAACTCAAAAGCAACTTGTTTGGATTTGGAGCCTTATTAATATCCGCAAAATCCCTTCACCTCTGTCTTATGCTGTAACACAATCAAGTACCGTCCTATCCTATGCACAGGTCCTGCCCACACCTTCCCAAGGGAGGGAAATTGCATAGGGCAGGCTCACCTGGGGCTGGAAATCATGGGGCTTTGTCTACCACAGTGCCGTAGTCTTCTAAGCCCAGCTGGTGCTGCTAATTACCTGCATCTGCCTTCTTCCTGAAAGACTCTGATCTTCCTATTTTCTAACCTGGGGCTATAGGGACTGTGCCAGTTACACAATTTCCACTAAAATCCTAAAAACTCAAGTCAGCACCCTTGTGTGGGGAAAGACTTTGAGATTATAGGCTAGGGAGGTGTTGCTAGAGCACAGGGTTTCATTCATACATACACACTTAGAGACTTTGTTTGGAAAACCTCTAGGAATAAATATTATCTGGGCAACTACTAAGGGCCAGGTACTGGGGATAATAAGTAAGGTAAGGCTCTATAATCCACTCCCTATAGAGCTGTTCTCAAGTCTTCAGCCTTTATTTAAAGATGATCCTAAAATGATGTCCACATGAAGGCCTCAACCCCAGAGATGTTTGAGGGTTAGACAAAAATCTTAGAAGCTTAACTCTCTTTCGCCCTCTCTCCTCCCCTCCCTCTTTTCTTTCTCTCTTTTACACACATAACAATGTAGAATGCAAGGGAAGGAAAGTTACTTGAATACAATCTAACTTATATTTAAAAATTATTCAAAGTCCTTGGCATTATAACTGTTATTACTAAAATAAAATTTTGCATTGCACTTGACAATTTAGGGCAAAGCACAGTTAGTTGCCTCAGACATCCAGATTGAGAATTTATCCAACTGATAAGCTTTGGAAGATCCATGGGCTGCATTCTTGTGTGGATAAGAGTATTAACCTCTTTTTAACTTGTAAATAGCTTGTGAAGAAAAATTCTCAAGGCAGTCAAAACAAGCCATTATAGCAGATTTTATTGCCTATTATTGCAAGGGTGCATGCAAGTCACCTCAAATAACCTTCATCCTGCCGAATTAAATAACTCGTATATTATGTTAGATCATGTCTCAAAGAAAAATGTCTGTTGCTACATATTTAAATGTGTCTGGGGCCGGACACAGTGGCTCATGCGTGTAATCCCAGCACTCAGGGAGGCCAAGGTAAGAGGATCACTTGGGCTCAGGAGTTCAAGACCAACCTGAGCAAAAATGTGAGACCCCATCTCTACTAAAAATAGAAAAATTATCCAGGCGTCATGGATAATTGTCCAGAAGGAAGGGTCTTCTGGATATGCTCACTGGTCAGACGAGGGCCAACAGGGTGCTCCTGAGATTGCTAGCCCAGGAAAGTGCACGTGGAACTATTCCATTGACTGATCAAACAGGGGAAAAAACGGCGGAGTTTTATTCTTTGAAAGTCAATGAAGAAAAGGCAGGGAACTAACAAATAAGGAGGTGAGAGAAGAACATTGACCCTTCCTGGCGTACCTGTAGTCTCAGCTACTCAGGAGGCTGAGGCAGGAGGATCACTTGAGCCCATGAATTTGAGGTTGCTGTACACGAGGTTGACATCATGGTGCTCTACTCAGGGAAAAAGAGTGAGACTCTGTCTTAGAAAAAAAAGTAGATATGTCTGGGATCCATTCAGGCAGTATAAATGTGCATGCCCCATATTCAAAGCCATTCAAGACAAA